TCTCCGATTCCAGCGGGGAATAAGTTTGTTTTCATTTTTTATATTTTGTTTGTGCTTTGAAGTTTCTTTAGCGGTTAGATTTGTTTTCCGGGGTAGGGTTGCTAGCCCTATGCCCAACCTTCCCTCTTTACCCGGGCTTAGGACCGGCTAGTAACTAATGAACTAGTTAACCAGGCGAAGTTATCTTCACTGATACATCGTCTCATATCATCCTCCTCGTTTTAATGTATTTCAACTCTCACTGATTTCCTCCTTAGTGTCACAAAGTATGGGAGCTTGGACTGATGCACCTATCTTTGAGGTCCTACCCTAGTTCTTCTTATATACCACCTGGTCGTAATTTTTAAATTCTGAAATAAATATCTGACTGTCTTCCTCGATATTTTGATTAAATTAATATCTTAAACTCTTCTCACACATCTCCATGTTTTGTTGCTTGTCTGTGGCGTCCAAATATTTCCTAAAGGAAGACAAGATGCAAGAATCATTATGTGCTCTTAAATATTGTAACAATTCCAAATTATGCGTAAATATTCACTACAAGCATATTTATAATAAATCCCAAATTGGTTACTTATAAGTAGCCAAGTTCTATAATGTGTATTTCCACGAGTAACCTGGTTTATTTAGAAATATCAGTGCGCGAGCCTGTCAAATGATGGGTGGTACTGGTACTTGTTATTTATGCTTTTATCACTACCTTAACTGGAGATTGGACTTGATTTTGACTGCATGTGTGTATATATAAAATGTACTTGTGAGCAAGACTAAACTTTTGAAGAACAGAAACTGTTCATGCAGAGAGTTTCTAAAAGTCGTTCTTTTTATCTTTCTGAATTTAAGGTCAAATCCCGATAGCAAGCTTTTCTATTCGTTCGTAGTTGTTTTTCCGTATTGTTTAAATAAAAAAACGCCGAAATTCATACAAGTTATTCCTTTTAATAGATTTGCTTAGCGTAATCAAAAATGAAGTTAATATGGAAAGTGTAATCCCCGCGCTAAAGGTTATGTGAAAGGCAAAACTAGAATGGAGTCAGAAAAAAGTTTAGGGTTAGAGATGTAAAAATAGAAGAGATATCGGGAGTCGTGGTGTTTCCAAACAAATAAAAATGAGATGAAACGTAAAAAGGCAGGCTTCAGGTTGGAAAAAAAATTGAAACAGAAGGAAGTCTTGAAGTTTTGATAAACCTTGGCATACACCGTTGGTATGTAAATACTTCTCAAAAGTGGCTTTAAAGTCGATAGTGTGACCTCTTTCAATGAGGTGCATCTCTTCGTTCTCGACTGAATGGCTGGGTTAGCAGTGGAAACTACCCATATAATTATTTAACAATTATGTTTAGAATTAAGTATAAAGTTTGTTGCAGTAAAGTAAAAGAAGCTAAAATTGTACTTTTGTTTTCCTGGGCTCACTGCTGTTGTAGAAGACTTGTCAGTTTTATCCAGATGCTTTTGACCAATCCTCTTAGCTTAAGCATCCTTTTTGTAACCAGTGTTTTACATATGAGCTTGGATAACTAGGTCCGGTGGTGAGAGAAAATGTTAATCTTGAACTCCATAATATATGTGCATTCGAAGATCGTTTTGTCTGTGCAACATGAGGTACATTCAGTTAGTAATGTTAGAATTTGCTATCAGTCAATCAGGATGAAAGCAGGACCTACCATTATTACTTTAAGGCGCAAGTTATCATAACTGGTATCAGCATATCTACATAGTAGGTACATATATGAAAGAGAAAAAAAGGAAGGAAGTAACTCTGACTGAAAAATTCAACGTAGAACCTAGCACACATGTGCATCGGACCAAGTTGCCACATTTCACAGTAGTACACAAAGAACAGGTGAACAGAAAAGGTGTGATATCAAGGTAGATAAAGTAGTGTGAGAGAATAAACAATCTGAAGATAAATATTTGTGCGAATAGTCAAACTTTAAAAAATGTCAAGGAGTGAATACATCTGCGCCAGTATGACTGATTTTTAGCCATATCATCAAGAGTCATCAACCACTCATTCCTTTCGTCTCTAGGACCTTAACCAGGCGGTCTACATCACTCTGCACGGCTCAGACCAACAGTAAGAGACTTCATGGACTGGAGCCACATCTTGGCCTGGCCACCCGAAGTCTTCTCCCAACCTAATCCAGCTTCCCGTGGTATGGTACGTCGAGATAGGCGATGGATCGGCATGTCCAAGACACCTCAACCGATGAGGGTTCACAACCGACATGCCTGTCTTGCCTAGTACTCTTCGTCTGACTTCAAGATTGCTCACACGGTGATTCCACCAAACGCGAGCAATGCTGCAAAGACAGCTATGATCAAAACCCTGCAACCACTTCGTGTTAGATATTAGTTGGTTGGAGGCAATCGGCAGGAAGCCTTGGACCTAGGTTTCGTGCTTTGTGACACTCGTCAGCAAGGCGTATCTGCAACCTCGACGGAACTGATGTCTCTGACGAGTGCCAAAAAGCACGAAACCTAGGTCCAGGACTTCCTGCCGATTGCCTCCAACCAACTAACGTCTACTAATGTGCACCTCTATGCTGAGCTTCATAGCTTGGTTGCTACATTGCAAATATGATCGATACAATTCGGTCTGCACTCAGGACTAGACAACATGAAGTTGGTTGCACTCCCGTGACCAGTCAATACCACTTCATGTCTTCTACTCTCAACGGCTATATCTCACACCCGTATTACAGGACAGAATAGACTAGACTACAACGCAGTATACTCGTCCTATGATAGGTAGTCGGATATCTCTCTAGTCGATGCCAGAGATGACGCAAGTTGGTATATAACGGACGGCCCTTCTGTATCCACGCTGAGATTTCGTCAGCAACCAACCCGTTCGGGCTGATGCAACTCCCCAAGTAGGTGACGTGGTCAACACATTCCATCACTTCCCTTTCTATCATTAAAATTGGAGTATTCGCAGCAGTGGGAGAAATCTAAAGGAAGTTGTCTCTTTCACCTACCTAGACAGGCAACATCGTTTCAACTATAGGCGGCACAGATGGCGACGTCAAAGTCACGATCATAAAGACAGGCCATCATTAACCTGAAATCAGTGTGGAGATCTACTCCACCTCACTCCACTCAGTGTGTGTAAAGAACAAGATCCGGATTTTTAACACTATGTCAGTCAAGTCAGTGCTTCTGTGTGATGGTTCAGAGACTTGCGGCATCACAAAAAGCATTTCCATCAAACTACAGATATTCATCAACAGCTGTCGCCTATGCTCACTCCATACTGAAGATTAGATCAGATGGCCAGAATACTAAGAATAAGCAACAAGAAACTCACTCTGGAAACGAGCCAACGAAGCAAGAACCCATCGCCCAACAAATATGCACTGGAAGGAAGTGGAGATGGATTGGATTGGTTGGATTGGACATACACTGAGAAGACCGATTGGGGATATCACGCACCAGGCCAGGCCGATGAGCGGAATGCAAGTGGGAAACGACGAGTTGGGCGTCCGAGGTGAGGGTGACATGGAGGATATGGTGTGAGGAAGAAATGAAAGCTTGTGGGGAGTCATGGCGCCAGGTCCAAAAGACTGCAGAGAACAGAATGAAATGGAGACGTGCTACTGAGGCCCTATGTTCACTAGGAATCGAAAGGACAAGTAATAATACAATAATAATTTGCAGTAGACCAGTCCTGGAGCATCATCATGCATTTGACAGGTGCGAAGAGCATGCCAAACATACTCGGATTTCTGCTCAACCCGTTCACAGTACCCTGCATTTTGTCGGAGTCTTCACCCAGCGTGACAATATCGTCTGCATACTCCTCCAAATCAACCAGAAGCCTCCCATGGAGTAGGTCAGCCTCCGTGAAGTCAGACATACCTAAGGTTATGTACATTAGTACGCATATAGCGAAGCTGAATAGGAACGGTGACAGTGGCCAGTTCTGGTGGACACCACTAGTCGTCAATTCTGATGACAACTTTCCATATAAGTAGAAGTGAGATCTTGACATGACTATGGACAATATATTATGTCCGGAACGTAACAATACTGTTCCACAGTGTCATAAATCTAGTAAGTCAAATAAAATGGAACTCTCCATAAGCCATGATATGACTGCATGAGTTCGAGTAGAGAGCTTAAATTAGCGTTGCATATTTGCTGGTACTCCCTTCATAGTCAACAATGCCACAACACCTCATGGTCGACTGAGTCAAATGTCGCCTTAGACTGAAATAGGTAGTTGCCCTAAGGTACCACTCACCAAGCTTTGACTTCAAGTCTGATTGAAAAACAGAGGAGCAGTGTCAGCAGCTCCATTCTCCGAATTACCGCCCACCAGAATAGCTCAATACGCCGTTCATCCGTAAAACGCATCCTCAAGCCGATATACATCATTGGATTCGAATCAGCGTTTACCTATCTTAACCCTCCGTATTCACCCATCCGATGATAAGCGTCTGATGTAAGTCAGGTGTGACAGGTTGGACCACTGCACAATAATCTGATCTCAGCTACCATGTTCATACTGGCTGACTTGGTTGACTTGATTACAAAAAATAGGAATACTCATGATAAAAATTCAACTTAGCAACCTGGTATAGGATACGTGAACTAGGTTATTATTTACTTCTGCTGTATGAGAGCTCTAGAAAACACAGAGCTGTCGACACCTAGGTAAACGCAGTCAACTTTTAATTTGTGACAGCCACTGATAGTTAACCGCCTATACTACAGAGTCATATCTTCAATAATGACTAAGACACGTGGAATAGGTCAGTAGCTGAGGTTTATATCTTAAATAAGATTACAGTAAGTTGAATGGCCTAATCTAAAGTATTTATCAAAAGCTATATCACCAGATGTCATCTTTCTAACTGTAATGATATCGGAAATAACTACGAAAACTCCCTTCTAGTCTTAACTCGTGAGCAGATCTTTCTGAAATACTGAAAATATTTGACGCCAATTGTGAGATTCAAAATATATCAGCACAACACTTCACTTATCAAGCCTAATTATACTTAAAAAGTCCAGATTTCAGTAAAATGAGATTTTAATGGTACGGATAACATCAACCCAAAGTAACATACGATCGAAATACCCTTTGGAAAAAGGATGAATTTAAAGGAACTTAGCTATGTGAATTCATAAGTCAGTAATCTCTGATAAGCAGAAACTAGTTATGATACGAATTAAAGCAAAGAAAGCCATGAACTTAAGAATATGAATTGTGACTCACCTCTTTCATCACACGTAGATAGCTGTTCTTCAAGAAACTTACGAATGTGTCCAACATGCACATTCCGCACAGAGAGCGGAAGAGGGCCCCACGGTCCCCAAGGGCCCCATCTGACTTTAGTTTGATTATAGATAGAATGCAAATTTAAGTTAGAAAATCTAAAATCCTTGTTTGCGTTCAAGTTAAACCCTATGCGTTCTGATTCTCCGGTAACTACTGCACCAGATGTCATCCATAATGTTACTGCTAACTCACAAATTGAACGAGGGCTATGAGATTCGTGAATTTGATGAAGATTTCGTAGAGCAAATTCAGATACCTCAGGAGGTAAAAGACCACAGATGACATAATCACTATGCAGTAAATTAACTGCATGTGCACAAGCATGTCCACCATGTCCATCAACCACGGTAAATAATGTACCACCATAAGCTGATTCTTCGGTATCTAACTGCTTGAAATCATAAAGACTAAGACAGTCTAAATCACCTCCACCAAAATGGGATGCCATCCATCGATCTTCAACTGGACGATTCACACCAACCTAATTTCACAAACAACAGAAAATAGCAACAAAACATTTCAAAAGGACAAAGGTAGAAAGTGATAGGAAATCCAGTAAAATCAATGAATCCTTGCGGTCTAATAACCTAATTTAAGAATCTCCAATACAATATATTTGAGAGACTTTAAATGTCAGCCTAAGTCAATAGAATGACACAACTCAAAATTCGAAAATCTTGATGCATTATCACACGATTGGCTCACAATCAAATGCAGAAACAGGTAAAATTAACAGGACACTGATAAAAAATGCACTCCATAAAACAAAACAGTAAGTCACAGAGACTATTTGCAATGCAAATCGCATTCGCCATCATATGGTAACTGCCTAAACCTTCCGAAACCATCTGAATAACCTAAGACATTCTTCCAGTGGAAGAATCTGAGAAGACAGACAGATAAGAACCAAATCAACATCGAATCTCGAATTACAGTGTAACAGTTCATATTGCCACACCTAACATCAACACACTATAAAAGATTAAGAAACAAACTAGCTAACAGTTCAAGGTAGTAAAAAAGTGTCAAACGAGAGCAAGGCGAAATGAGAAGACACTGTAAATCAGTATGACAAATAATTTCCAAATAATGTATGGATACATCCGCCCATCTCGAATGGATAATAGAATCTCTGAATACTGCTTTACGATGACAGCCAACCAATAACCAAAACGTCTACAAATCCCCGAAAAAGCGAAAAACTATTCGGGTGCCCGCATAGTAATACTCAGGAAACCGTGCTCTAGAGCCTGCTTTTCATAAGTTTGCGAGTCTCCATAAAACACATTCATGACGTGCTACACTTACATCCGTAGTCTCACGAATTAAATATCCAAGTTAGGTGACTTAGCTCAGTGCATGAAACCAGATGCAATAGCGGTCACTGAAAAGTGGTTAGCTGCATGCATAGATGTTTGCCCAGTCATCCTAGCTTATGCACACACTAGGATCAACATAGTCACGGCTTTTAAGGGTGGTGGCATTATCCTGTACATTCATGAGAACCTGTCGATACGCTTGACTACTGAAGCAAACTCAAGTGCCACGTATGAGACTGTTAGTTGCAAACTCAGTTCCACGCAAGGCGTTGTGACAAAAGGTTTACTTGGCCGTAGTCCAAATTAGCCTGCAAATGAATTCATCCAAACTATACCAAGAAGTCGAGCAAGAACAACAGACGCCTGCCCATAAAAGACACTAATGCACACATGTCAAATAGCAAGAAGTCACCATAACTGCACCAGACACTTGTTTTCATAACGACCTACTGTTAAATACCTCTGAGTGCACAATCGATCAGAGTGGAAGACGTCCTACACGTTATACGTCAGTACACAAGCAGTGTGTGAGAACGTGGTAGACCTAAAATCCTCACCCTTATTTGGTTAGTAGTGACAATGTTGTAATTGTGTTTAGGTTCAGAACGCAAGAATTAGTATACCACTAGATTTCTCCTCACCCATATGTTTGGTGCACAAACATGTTAGCGACTAGAGATCGTATTATTTCGATTAACTGGTCTCTTGATGTGCGTTAAGCTCACTTGGTTAACAAGTTCAATATTTTCTCGCCGCTCCTAAGCTGGGTGAAGAGGGAAGGTTAGGCATACGCCTAGCAACTCTACCACAGAAAACCAATCAAACCGCTAAAGAAGCTTCAAAGCACACAGAGAACATTAAAAATAAAAACAATTTAATACTCCCTGGAATCGGAGAGACGAAATGACGCCGGTTGGTGAAAGCCTTCGCGAAACCAATTGGCCGATGTGCCTTCTCTCTCTCCATGTAAGCGAAAGTAATGATGGGCACATGGAATGTCCACACAATGTATGAACCTACCAAGGCTGCCCAGATCGCAAACGAGATGAGAAGATATGGCATGGAGGTGCTTGGAATCTGTGAGAGCAGATGAAATGGAGGTGGACTCTCCAAACTGTCAACTGGAGAATCAATAATCTACTCCGATATTGTCACCCAGACGACAACCACGAACAAACACACTGAGTTTTGGAGTGGCTATCATGATGTCCTCAACAGCATCGAAGGCTCTATCTCATGCAGTGGGAACCAATCTCCTCCATCATCACGATCATGACAACAAGATTCAACTGAAGAGGAAGGGAAGTCACAATCATTCAATGCTACGCCATCCACCTATAAATAATGAAGATGAAGAGAAGAGAAGAAGGAAGAATTCTGTGGACAACTGCAGTCAGTACTGGACAAGACTACACCCCAGATGGCGACATCAAAATTCATTGCAATCAAGTGGGTGGGTTGACATGTTTTAATGCCGAAGTGGGAGTGGACAACAGAGGAAGAGAAGTGATCATGGGTAGAGAAGCACTCGGTGAAATGAAGAATGAGAATGGAGAACTGTTTGCAGATTTGTGTGCATTCAACGACTTGGTGGTTGGAGGCGAGGTGGTGTGTACAAACACAAGGATATTCAGAAAGCGAGCGACATGGATTTGATTTCACCAGACACCAGGACACACTACACTAGAAATCAGATCGACTTCATCTGAATGTGAAGAAAGTGGAGACGCAGCCTACTTGAGACAAGATGAGATCAAGAAGAGGAGCAGATGAAGGCTCACACCAGTGACTGTCTAGTGCAAGGAACCTAACTTCGAAATCAAGTTGAAAGCCTTCACTGAAGTTGGTGAGACGCCAGAGTTCAATTTCAGCACCCAGAACAGAAAGTGAAGGACGAAACTACAATGGACATTTTCACGTCAGTCATCAAGACAAAATGGGGGATATTGAGCAACATCCGTGAAGAAACCTGTGTGGATGATCACTGGAACTCTTTGAAAGCTATATGGAAGGAAACCTGTATAACTGTATTAGGAAGAAGGAAGAGGAAAGAAGATGAGGAATGGATCTCGACGGACACATGGAAGTTGATAGAGGAGGGAGAGGATGATGGTGAAGCAGAAGATGAACCAGTGCAGTGCAAGGATGCACAACGAAAAGAGGAACTGAATACAACCTATAAACACTACACGGACAAGGAAGTGAAGAAGAGTGCACAGAAAGACAAATGACACTTCCACAAAACACTGGGATGTGAAGCAGAACAGGCTGCAGGTAGGAGAGACAGAGACCTGACAACATTATACCAAATAACCAGGTTACTATGAGAGGGAAGAGATCAACGCAGAGAAACCAATAAAAGATGATGAAGGAAATATAATTACCAAAGAAGAGAAACAAAGGAAACGATGAGCTGACCACTTCAAAAAGCTCTTGAATGACAGACCACCACCTGCACTTCGTCCAGAAATACCACCTTCAGCCCAGCCACAGAACTACAAGTGAACACAAGCCCTCCAACGAAAGTCGAAGTCCTGAGCTCCATAAAGCTACTGAAGTGCAGGAAAGCAGCACGACAAGATGGAATCCCACCAGAACCACTGACAGCAGACGCAGAGACAACAGCGGACATGCTCATACCACTACTGCAGAAGGTGTGGAAGTAAGGGAAGGTACCTGCCGGTTGATTGGAAGAAGGGCTATCTTGTCAAACTAGCGAAGAAGGGAGACCTAAGTCTTTGCAAGAACTGGAGCGAAATCATGTTCCTGTCCACCCAAGGCAAGCAAAATATAAAGCCGCATCATCCTGGAGAGACTAATGGATGTTCTGGATTCAAAACTACGACCGGAACAGACTGGCTGCAGACAGGCAGGCAGGCTTGCTGGATGGATGGCTGGCTGGCTGGCTTCAGAAAGAAGAAATCATGTGCGCATCAAATTGCAACGACATGCTACACATCATCATAGAACAGATTACTGAATGGCAGTCAACTCAACTCTACCTCAATTTCATCGACTTTGAAAAGGCCTTCAACAGCGTCGACCGAAAAGTAACTTGACAGGCAGTTGCTTCAACACTACGGAATACCACAAACCTTTATCAATCTCATTCAACAACTATATGAAGACTCCTCATGCCAAGTAATTCACAATGAGAAGCTCAGTGATGCTTTTGAAGTGAAGACAAGAGACAGGAGTGAAACAAAGCTGTCTACTATCACCCATGATATTCCTGATTATAGTGTACTGGACTGGATCATGCAACAAACAGTGAGGAGCTGTGAGAAGAGGGGGATATGCTGGACCACGGAAATGAACCTAGAAGACTTGGATCTCGCCGATGATGATGATGATGATGATGATGATGATGATGATGATGATGATGATGATGATTAATGTCTAATGTCACACAAACTTGAAGATGTACAGGTGAAAACTAAGAAGTTGACAGAAGAGGTGAGGCAGCGAAGACGGGACTTCCTTCAAGTGAACGTAGAGAAGACAGAGGTGATGAAGATGCCCAACCAACAACACAACATCAACAGCAACAAGCTCGAATCACTATCAACGGGAGAAACTCAAAGGAAGTAGCCTCTTTCACCTATCTAGGCAATGCAGCACTGTTTCAACTACAGGCGGTGGCGGCACAGGCACCGACGAGGACGTCAGAGCCAGGTGGGATCATGAAAGCAAGACAGGCGTTCATTAGTCTGAAATCAGTGTGGAGATCTACTGCACTGCACTGCACTGCACTTCACTGCACTCAGCATAAAGCGTGAACAAGATCCGGATTTCCAACACCAATCCAGTCAAGTCAGTGCTTCTGTGTGATGGTTCAGAGACTTGGCGCGTCACGAAAAGCATCTCCAACAAACTAGAGATATTGATCAACAGCTGTCGCCTACGCTCACTCCATACTGAAGATTAGATCAGATGTCCAGAATACTAAGAATAAGCAACAAGGAACTCTGGCTGGCTGGCTCGCTGGCTGACTGGTTGGCAACGAACCAACGAAGCCAGAACCCATCACCCAACAAATATGCACTAGAAGGAAGTGGAGATGGATTGGATTGGATTGGGCATACACTGAGAAGGCCGATTGGGGACATCACGTGCCAGGCCAGGCCCTCGAGTGGAACCCAAATGGGAAGCGACGAGTTGG